GCAAACCAAAGAGAATGTACTGTTTAGTTGCAGCGATATATAAGAAAGATTTGATGAATATTAGGTAACTAAATGTTTCTACGGATCTCATCGTTGGTGAGACTCTGAAACAGCTGCTGTAGAAGTGAAATAAACGAAAAGTCACTTAGTCAGGCCAGGTAACACTAACAGTAAGTAATTGATGCAGTGACTGAAATAATAGTTTGTGAGCTTCAGTTTAAGCATATTTTTAGTTCCAAAGTTCATCATTCAAGCTATAGTTAAAGGAAATATAATTTATGAATATAGTCAACTGGCAAAATGGAGTCTATTTTTGGAGTGAAATTGAAAATAATGTATATTATGCATAGAAGACATGAAGTAATTAATGTTGAAATCGCAAAATAGATTGAAAACTCCGGTTCCACCGCCCACGAGTCGAAATGATTGTCAGGCTCTGATTGAAATCGTATTGCTTGTATGCAAAATAGCTCCTGTACATTTGTCAATTGCGCATCTTTTTTATCTGAAACTTGGTATAAAATGGCTTTCGCCGAAACGGGCAGTTTAAACTGGGGGGAAATTTTTAATGGATAACGCTTGACTGAGGGGGACTCACATGAGTGGACAGACCACCAGACTGAGCTTCAATCGCCGCAATACACCTGGCAACCACGAGTGAAGCGGAGTCGAGCTCCCGCTCGATTGCTGCTTCCAGCGCAGCTGCTGCAGCTTCCTCAGGACTAAGTCCAGGTACTCCGGTGCTTCCAAACCCAACTGGCAGTGATCCGGGTGCTCCTCCTAATCCTGAAAGTTGAACCCCGGAGCCAGGACCCCCAGTACCTGCAAGAACAACCAATGAGCCACTACCGCCACCACCAGCGGCTGTGAAGCGCTTGCTTCGAGTCGACGCTTTGCGTAGATCTGGCCGGAACAGATTAGACCCAAATTCTACCAGACTAGAAAGCACGTTACTTCCGGTTGCCACGAGGTTACTGGTACGACCACCACTCCCGCCAGGCACACTGATGGTGCTTACAGAATCGCCTGTCTCGGCATCAGAGTCTGAATCAGAATGTGAGGCCAAATGGCCCCGAGGAGCTGTTTTGGTTAGGCAGAAGTGGGTGGCACAAGAACCATACAGGAAATGATGGCCAGAACGAAAAAAAATCATGCACTATGAATAAATAGTTCATTTTAATTTTGTCATTGCCATAACCCCAAGAATATGGGCTGTAGCCTCTTCTAGAAACAAAGGCTTCAGAGAAGATAATAAAGAAATTTTTATGACTAACTAGACGATCCTGGATAAAACGATACATATCTTTCGACACTAACCACCAAATCCAGGAACCATAAGGCTACAAGAATATTTTGACTTAGCTAAAATTTATCTTGGATCATATATCAGAGAGTTGCACTTTATTTCAATCTTAAGCTTATCATAAAATAAAATTATATATAAGCATGATAAAATGATTAGGAAGATATTCGTAGCAATTTAAATTCGTGAGAACGAGCATTTAGTCTACGATAGAATTGGGTAGTTTAATACACATCCGCAGATAATAGGT